CCAGCTCACCAAGTCTTTCCACTTCTTAGTCATCAAAATTGCCAACCCTTTGGACAAGTTAGCAAGAATGTATATCTGGAAGATAGTCAAGTTACATGGAGTACCAGTGACAGTAGTATCTGACAGGGACCTCAGATTCACTTCTCAGTTCTGATCTAGTTTTCAGCAAGTTATGGGAACGAAACTATCCCTTAATACTGCATTCCACCATCATACCGATGGCAATCAGAAAAGATGATCCGTATACTGGAGGATATGCTCTGAGCTTGTGTTCTTAACTTTATGGGCTATTGAGATGATTATTTACCCTTAATAGAGTTCGCCTACAATAGTAGCTATCAAGCAAGTATCGACATGACTCCGTACGAGGCGTTATATGACCACCCATGCAGATCACCGATCTGTTGGGAAAATGTGGGTGATAGAAAATTGTTCGGCTCAGATCTTGTAGAGGATACTACAACCAAAATAGTTAAGATCAGGAAGAAGATCCAAACGGCTCAAAGCAAACAGAATAGTTATGTGGACACCCGGATGAGAGATTTGGAATTTGAGAAAGGTGATCAAGTGTTCCTTAAGGTCACTACTTTCAAGGGAATCAATAGGTTTGGCAAGAGAGGGAAACTAAATTCCCGGTTTATTAGGCCATTTGAAATTTTAGACAGAATTGACACTGCTGCCTATAAACTGACACTACCTCCAGAATTATCCAGGATCCATAATGTATTTCATGTGTCCATGCTACACAAGTACAACTTGGACTCCTCTCACATCTTGGCTCACGAGCCCCTTTCACTCCAAGAGAATCTGTTTTATTAGGAGGTACCAGTGGGTATTGTGGACCGAAAAAGTAGAGTATTCGACAACCGAAAAATTTCTTTCATTAAAGTCGTATGGCAGAATCACACACACAGAGAGGTAACATGGGAGCTAGAATCAGATTTCACATCTTAGTATCTCCAACTGTTTGATTGAGTGAGAGAGAGACAAATTTGAGGGACCAAATTTTTTTAAGAATATGAGAGTTATAAATACTTGAGCCCGAAATTTGGCCCAAGATTAATTTTAAAATTTAAAAAATATATAAAAATATAAATTTTAAATTTATAAATATTTATTTAATGTAAAATTATGAAAAAAAAAATAGATGGATGATAAGATTGAAAATAATTTTGGAAAAAATATGTAAAAATTTGGGTTCATTGGGTATTTTTAAAAGAAAAATCAGAAACTGAGGATTAAAATAAAATTAAAAGAATTACACTACGTAGGACCACCCAACCAATAACCCTGATGTACTGGAGCACACTGTGTGGCAATGCACGTTGACTCGGTGCCACGCTAGCAATCTGCGTGCCTGTAATCGGACGGCCCGAATGCTTTCCCACGTGCGTGGATGGTTCGGATCCGTTCCCTCATCAGGCACGATCGAATTGTCGTAATTAAACGCGATGAATGACTTAGATTCGTTTTCTCTTTAAACGCGATCATACGGTCGAGATCAAATCGCGATGAACAGTCCAAATTTATTTTTTCTTTAAACGCGATCGGACGGTCGAGATCAAACGCGATGAATGGTCCAAATTTAAAGAAGACGGGTATAAATATCTCACTTCACACTGAATCCAAACCCTAGCTACCAGCTCCCGATGGAGAAGAAGAACCAATCACAGAAGAAAAGAGCCAACCGTCGCCCGCCGGAGCCACCTCCAACCGCTGTCTGTCTCCCACCGTCGCACGAGAGCCACATCCGACCGCCAAAAAAGGTAAAAATTCTTCTATTTGCTCGAAATTTGATTTTGAACATTACCATGGCCAAATCAGAGCAAAAGGAACGACAGATGAGCCGAAAACCACGGGTAAAGCCGCCGCCGCTGTCACGAAAAAAATTGAAAATCACCTCTGATGAATCCCTTTATGTTTTTCGTTTCGTGCGATTTTTTCACCATTGTGTTCATTATTTTGTTTTCTATAAGTTGACAGACGAAAAATGTCCAACCGCGAATATGAGTCGGCGGAGGTAGTACACCGAAAAATTCTGCCACCATTAAGTTATTGTTTTCGATTTTTTTGGGCCAACCGAGGCCCCTTAACATATTTTCTTATAGGAATTGGTATAAAACCGACCGAAACCAGCTAAAACTGGCTGAAAATAGCCAATCCAAGGTAAATCGCCGCCATGGGCGGCGGTGTCGCTGTGCCAGAATCTCGAAATTGGCCGAAAAAAGTTTTTAACATCGATTTTGGATTGTTTGGGATATTTCTAAGTACGTGAAGTGTGTTTTAATCACCGCAAGAAAATTTATGAAACTCGAAAACCGCCAGTAGACACAGTAAAAAATTCAGTATTTCGGACACCGATTAGGATAAGAATTCTTCACCTTATTCTCTGTTATCGAATTGAAGTCTAATTATAAATAATACGGTATTTTGCAAAATTTAAAAAATTTTAATAATTAATTATAGGTTAATAATTGAGACAGAACCGGTTATTTATTACTGTCTGTCTTGTTTTAACTGATTGTTTGATTTTACAGTTTTAAATATATGATAATACACTAGAATTTGTAAGATGATTCAGTTGTATTTTCTTCGTGATTTACAGTTAAATTATGAAACTGAGAATTAAATGTAAATAAAAAATTGATTGGTTAAGTGAATAAATGAATAATAGTCTTACTGGATATTCTGAAAGATGGTGGACGGACTGAGTACATAGGAAACCCTACCGTGAACGTCGCCTTATACTAGACAGAGTATTGAGAATTGATATTTTTGATGCTTATACCGGACAGAGTATGGGGATGACCCGTTTCACCGACATATCGGACGGGGTATCGAGAATTGATATTTTGGCGTTCATACCGGACGACGTATGGGGACGGTCCGTTTCACTCTCATACTGGACGAGACATCAAGAATTGATATTTTCGCGCTCATACCGGACGAGGTATGGGGACAGCCCGTTTCATCCTCATACTGGATGAGGTATTGAGAAATAGTATTTTGGCGCTCATACCGAACGGAATATGGGAATGGCCGGTTAGTTGATAAGGTTGGATGTTAGTTTACACGTAGTTTGACATCTCTATGGACTCCTATAGATACCAGTAGGCAAATAAAAAGGGAAAGTTGTTATTCTTGTCTACTTGAATATGAGATTATGATGTTGTTGAGTTATTATCTCTATAGGTCAGTTTTTTAAATCTTGCAAACGGTAAGTATGTAATAAATAGTTTTACTTATGATAAATAAATTTATTTAAATTAAGAGTTATATTAGTTATTTTTATAATTTTTACCAACCTTTATTTCTGTATCGGTGAGTAATGTGATATTCTTACTGGGTTAATGTAGCTCATCCTTTCATTAACCATTTCAGATCGAGAGCATCGAGATCCAGATCTCTACTAATAAGGGGGTTGTGAATAATTCACCACTTAGACTCCCTTCAAATGCTAGTTAAGGTCGTTTTATGATACATAATTGTTTACTTTTTATTTATTTTTTATTTTTTCGGTTATTTTTTTAGAATCGTCATTCTTATAATTCTATTGGGTATTTTAAATTATTACGTAAGTAATGTAAACGCTCACTATATTATTTTGCTTCCGTATTCAATTTATAATTTATTCCTTTTTAAGTTTCGAGTCGCTTCATATATAACATCTAACGAACAGGATTTGCTCTTTGTGATCAGTTTATCCAGAGTTATAATGCGCTTCCATAATACAAAAAGAGCCACCTGGGTGATGCTTTTACTTTCAAACCATCTTTATTGAGAACTTTTCATTTTAATCTTATCTTTTGGTCAAATGATGATACAATCGACTAAAAATAGGCTTTTGAAACTCAAACTCCAAATAGGTTAATTCTCCTAACTCTCTTATACTTTGTACAAGCATTGCTTACATGTCATGGATTATAGCTCATCATTTTAAGATTTTGAGGAGACCTCAACACTTGTTATCAATTTAAGGCTTAGGATCACAATTTGCTATGTAGATTCAGTGTTTGAGGCTTCCTTCGTGATCAAATGCTACTGATTTTTTGTTTAACATTCCCTACGTTCCGATTGCTTTAAAAATTAATTTGATTAATCATAAAGAAAACATGTTTTATTATAAAAAATTAACACCCATTTTGATCATTATAATAAATATATGTGCAGATTAATATTGAAACCGTTTTTAATAAATTGAGCAAATTAGTGGTTTACAAAGTATACACGACACGTGATATTTGTTAGTATTAGGACAAATATTAAATTTATTGATTTAATTAATTTTGGTTGACTGATTTGGGCACTAATGAGATACGACAAAATTAAATTAAAAATGAGTAATTACTTTCTTTTGTAGTTTAATTCTTGAAAATTTTTAAAAATTTTAGATCCAATTGTAGCAATGGCTTTTCTGAAAAGTCAACTATTTGGAATTATAGTAAAATATTAGAAGTTTGTGTAATTTATAACATAAAATTAATCACTCTCTAAATTCAGAGTTATTATTCAATGGACACTAAATTTAATTACACTGAAAAAATGGTTCAATTCTCATTTTTTAATTTGCAGTTATTTCATTTCCTTTTAAGAAAAACTCTGACAATAATTAAAAAATCTCAAAATTCTGGAAACTGAAATCAAAGAATTCTAAACTTAATTTTCCTCCCCAAGATTTTCATTAAAAAAATTCTTCCCCCCTAAATTAAAAAAATGTCACAGAAAAATCCTCTAGAATCCCAAAATACCAACTAAATTTCATGAATATCCCAAAATTTCCATAAAATTACAAAAGTTCCCGCAAGAAATTGTTTTTTGATGGCATGATGTGGACCATATACGTTAAACACAGTCAAATGACACGGCAGATTAGTAAGTCAATCACTTTCTGAGACTTTTCCAAATCTGCTGGGCCCCTACTTAATACTACCGAATATTCATCGTCTCCCTTCTTCAATTTTCCTTCTTAATTTTCTTTTCCCGCAAGCCAAACACTCCCAACCATTCTCTCTATTTTCCTCTGTTTGACGACGAACATTACGGGGAGATGATCAAAATGGAGAAATCGAGTTTGGGAATCTGGTTTTTGATTGTTGCTTCGCTTGTTTCATGCCTGGCATTGCTCTGTGCTGATTATCTCACGTTTGGGGGCATCTATGGCATCACTCTTCTCTTCAGCAACTTCACTACTTCGATCGATGCTTCGAAATTCGTCTCTGTTAATTCCAGTCAAGTTTCCAGCTCGTCGAGGATGGCAGTCAGTCCTGTTCCGATGATCGACAGTGGGAAAACAATCGAGAAAGAAGGTCAGCTCAACATCATTGACTCTGTTTCGTTTCTCAGGAGTAAAAGTCCATCGATAACTGAAAGTACTGAAATCGCCATTAATGATGGAGCCGAGATTCTCACTGGAGGCCAGGAAGAAGATAACTGTTTAGGTCGATACATATACATTCACGATCTTCCAAGTAGGTTTAACGACGACGTAATCAAGGATTGCCGGAAACTGATTAAATGGTTCGACGTGTGCCCGTTTATGGCGAATTCGGGTCTTGGCCCGGCGGTGGAGAATTCCAGAGGGGTTTTATCAGAGAAAGGCTGGTTTATGACGAATCAGTTTTTCTTAGAATCAATTTTTCGCGACAGAATGAAAGGTTACGAATGCTTGACGAACAACTCAGCCATGGCGTCTGCAATTTACGTTCCGTACTTCGCGGGATTCGATATAGGTCGGCATTTATGGGGGTATAACGTATCGATAAGAGATTCTCTGGGTAAAACTCTGGCGAAATGGCTCCGAGAGCGGCCTGAGTGGAAATCCATGGGAGGCAGAGACCATTTTTTTGTAGCTGGTCGGATTGCTTGGGATTTTCGCAGAGTAAACGACGAACAAGACGAGTGGGGAAGCAAGCTCATGTTCTTACCAGAATTTTCCAACATGACGATGTTGACCATCGAGTCAACTCCATGGAACAACGAAATCGCGATTCCGTACCCAACGTACTTTCATCCATCAAGCGACGACCAAGTTCGTCAATGGCAGAACAGGGTACGAACCCGAACCCGAACCCGGCGGTTCTTATTCTCCTTCGTCGGAGCCCCACGACCCAACATGACAGGCTCCATTAGAGGGAAAATCATCAAACAATGTTTATCATCAACCAGGCGCTGCAAGCTTCTGAATTGCCATGAGAACAACTGTGATGATCCTGTTAAAATCATGGAGGTTTTTCAAGACTCTGTTTTCTGCTTACAACCTCCCGGCGACTCCCTCACTCGCCGGTCGATTTTCGACTCCATTCTCGCCGGCTGCATCCCGGTTTTCTTCCATCCCGACTCGGCTTACACACAGTACTTATGGTATTTCCCTAGAAACAATACCAAATACTCCATTTTCATACCCGAAGAAGATATAAATAAAAAGGGAGTGAGTATCAAGAAGGTGTTGGCTCAGGTTAGGAAGAAGAAAGTAAAGAGAATGAGAGAGGAGGTTGTGAATATGATCCCCAGTATTATATACGCAGACCCAAGTTCGCCATTGCTGAACCTTGAAGACGCATTTGATGTAGCGGTGAGCAGGGTTCTTGAGAGAGTAGGGAGAGTAAGGAGAAACATGAAGGAGGGCAAGGATGTTGCCGCAGTCCGTGGTTCGACGATTAAATTGTCAGAGAATATCAGAGTGAATTGAGAATAAGGTGTTACTTTTTGGAACTCATATATATATATATATATATATATATATATACGCACATATATATACAGAGAAAGAAGAATTGAATTGGGTATAGATTTTTTTGGCTGGTAACTTTCCTTCTGGCCTGACAAATTGTCCGAACTTCCATTTTTTCCCTTATTCCCCTTGGTAGTTGTTTATTAAGAAGTTCTATAAATCTTCTGTGACTGCTAACTTAAAAAAGGAGTCATAGTTTTAGCTTTTTTCTCATATAGGATGTGTATATGAAAACAATGAAAGGTTTTCTGTTTAACATTATTTTTTTTGTTTATAAAGAACTGTAATATTGTTAATTAACTTTTTAAAAAATATTGTTGTGTGTGTGTGTGCATATAAATGAGTATTCTGATTTTACGCGTAATTATTAATTATGGATTAAGATTCAGTGTCTCCACTACTTTTATATGTAATATAGTCATTAGTTTTGTCCTTATCAATTTTATATATAGCTATAAATCAGTATTAGAAAAATAAATAAATATGTATCAAACATTAAATTTGAAGTAGACAATATGTTTACATAATACCATAACAAAATAATATAAATATCAAAATTATGGGATGTCAATTTTGTTAACGAAAAAAAGAAGAAAATTCGACTAGAGAAAATTATTCTTCAATAAAAAAAATGCTAGGAGATTATAATTTTAATAAAAATAAATTACTATATAACTACTAGTTAATTTTCTTGTATATAAAAAAATATAATTTTTGAATAAAAAATATAAGAAAGAAATGTATTAGATAAGTTTTTTATTTCTTAAAAAAAAAAAAAACAAACACACACACACAAAACTAAGTCAATGACCAACATAAATTTCAACGTAATTTTCTCCATAAAAATAGCATGAAAATAAAAAATTTCATAATCAACAAAAAAATTTCAAGTTTAGTTCGTAAAATTTTAGATAAATAAAAAGTATATTTTTATGTAATAAGAAATTTGGAAATTGCGGTTTGTATTTAAAAAATTAGTTTCAGTTAAATAGTGCCGCGCTCCTAAAACGCAGCCGTTTTGGGCATCCTGAATGGAGCGAAGAACATACGATATATCCCTGGAATTGAAGTTTCTAGTATCCTAGCCGAAGGGGATTTGCTTGCTTGCCGCTCTGATTTCATGTACCTTCTTTCAAGGTTAAGCTTCTCTGTTCTTCAATTTTTATCTTCAGTTTTTTGCGGGAAATCTTTGATCCATTTATTGTCTGCATTTTATGATATTGCTAAAGCAAAATCGTCAACAATTTGTTGGAAAACCTTGCAGGTCTACTCATCAGTAGAGTTGTAAAACATAATGCTGACAGGAAGAGAGAGCTTGATCAGATTGATTGGCAGACGCAGAAGATTCCTCCCTAATCGCAAATCTCTTCTCTCTAGACCTCTCCAGGTACACACTCTCTCTCTCGCGCGCGCGCGCGCGTTCTCGTTTCGTTAACATTTCACTTTTTGTCGCGTCGATTGTGCATGTATATGTAAATTTATATGTATATCAAAGCTAGAAGAGATTCAATACGTGTGCTTTCATATATATATAATATGCAATTGATTATTTTAGATAGCCTTGGTTTTTGAAGGGCTTTTTTCTTTCTTTTTTAAACTTTTTGAATTTTAATGTTTTTAAGCTTGTAGCTTTTAAAACGTGACATTCAATTCATTTTTCTGATAGTTGCTAAGCCATTTAACGGATTTTTATGTGTACTCTTGAAAATATAAGTCCAGAATTGTGAATTTTAAGTTCATGTCCACTTCTTCCTCGTTTCTCTTTGAATACTAAATTTTTTGCTTACTGTAAGTTTGAAATTTTTAGAGTTCCCTGAATTTCTGCATTGATAAGAATGGAAAAATCAATTCAACTGAGAGTGTTGCAAAATCATCTGAGGATAAAATGAGTCCCTCTGGAGCTGTAGAAAATGAAAAAGGCGTTGCTGATGAGATGTTGTCTTCTGATTGGGTAAACTGTCCTGTTTGCGGGAAAAAATTCCAAGGAGGGGATTATATGATCAATTCACATCTGGGTATGTTGTTATTCTCTATTTTCTTCTTCGTCCTCTCTCTCTCTCTGTAAATCTCTTGCTTATTTCTCTTTTATATATTCATCTTTTATTCAATTGATAAGTACCCAGAAAGGTTAAGGAAATATGCGTGTTATTAATATCTCCAAAATAGACTTAAAAATTACTGTTATTCCAGTAGTGCATTTCATATTACCAATTGTGCATAAATGTTTTCAGATTTTTTGCATCTTAAGTGTTAATGTTGGTTCTATTATTGCTGTTCAGCATAAAAGTGTGCAAGTGTCTCTGAGTATTCAAAACTCTTGTCGTCCTAGTCGCTTCATTGCCTAAACCATTCTCAAGTTGGGTTTTTTATTATGTAAGGTGCCAGTTTCTCTACTCCTTATGCAACGGGGGGACACACAAACTATTTTTTTTGTACTACATCAGTTTGTAAATGAATATTGTTGTTTATCAATTTACAACACATGTTTTGTTGTTCGTCATTTGACAGTATGTGGTGCTTTATCAATCATCATCTTATAATGCACATTAGTGCTTCGATACTCAGTGAGTGGGAAAGCTTTGTCTTTTCCTGACTTGTTGTCAAATATTAGGTCAACTCTACCTTCTTCTTTTGGTAATCCAGGATATGTTTGAAGGAGAAATTCATGCATGATATTTCTCCTGGTTAAATTGTTGTGAATTTTCTTTTTGAGCAAAATCGATGAATTCACAAATCGAGAGAGAGGAACTCCTGCCCTCAAAAGTGAATAGATCAAGCTTCTGAGAGTTCCTGAACAACCATTTGCTCTTGAAAAATTTGTTAGGTGGATATCTTCGTTACAAAGTTGATGCAGCAGTATTTTGTATTATGTTATTGTAATTTGATAGTCCACTTGGCAGGTTTTCCTCAAAGATCAATTTCGATTAATCAGGTTGGAATATTAGAATTTTGGATGCTTCCAGAGGTTTTTAATTTGTATTTGTATGTGGTCAGATACTAAAAATGTGCGTTGCTATTTGTTTTACACCAGGTAGGGATTAAGAGAACTGCCTCCCTGTATGATGTGTGAAGTATCATGCTACATCCTAATCCAGTTTCTTGTATATAACATGATGTTTGCTGCTACTAACCTCTGAGTCTTGATGCTTTTAGTTAAATTAATGGCCTTCAGATTCATGTCTGTCAAGAGGAACCAAACGAAAATTGACGCAGCGCACCCTACTGCAGTTGAATTTTTGCTCAAGATCAAAAGTTCAACTTCTTTCTAATGGATCAGAGCGACTGGCGATGAATGCAATTCATACAGGTCCTGGGCATTCACTTGCAAAGAAAGCTACTCATAGATTCCCCAACCTTGTTGTGGCCGAAGAAAATGATCACAAGGCATGCGGACAGCTGTTGAACTTGGGGTCCGTTGAACAAAGTCACAGCGATTGTTTGGCTGAAAATCCTATTAGTGATTCAACTATTCACTGCAAGGTTGACAGACTATTTTCCCCAAATAGCGAGGTGCCTGAATGTTGTACAGATACAACATCGGCTGAAATATCTGCAGTGACTCTTCAAACTTTTATTGTTGGTCGTAGGTTCAGTGATGAAAGGATGCTAAGTTTTGGGATGAGCATCTTTCTTCTTAGAGATCCTGCTAACATTAAGGACCGGAATGCTATCAAGGTTTATTTTGTTTTTCTATCCTTTTGCATAAAATGGTTTTCTCGTGTATGTTCATTAAAGAAACTGTATGGCCCTTTTGCATCAGGTTCTCTCTGCAGATTCTGGTGTCAGCAAAGTGCTTGGTTATCTTCCTCGAGAGTTAGCTCAATACTTGTCTCCATTAATTGAGAAGTATTGCTTGAACTTTGAGGTTACTCAGTTCTTGTTTATTGAATGCTTTGCTGTTAATTTGATTTTTTATGTGCACCTGTCTATGTGTTCTAATTGAGTGAATATGGTAACAAAAAAATAATATGCTAAGCAAAGGAGATATCTCCTCTTCGGAATATCCTGGCAATGAGAAAAAGTAGTAGTAGATGGATAGCCAGCCTTGTACTCTGGTTCTCTTGGCAAGGTTGAAGATAAAAAATTATGGTTTTATACCATCTCTTTGAGAAAATATTTTGCTGAAACAAGCTAAGGTCAGCTAGTTATTGACAACATAAGACTTGTTTGTAGAAACACAGTAATTATTGCAATAGACAATTATATGTTTAATTGTCATTGTTTCAGTCTGAGACTTCTTGCAGGGACGAGTGGCTGCTCTTCCAAAATATTATCCTGAAGTTGTTCCCATTGATATTACGTGTAACAAGATGACATCCAATGATGACAAAGAATACAAGGATTTTGGAGATTTTAAAGTTTTGTGGGAAAAAGTCCTTCAGGTTGTTGAATCTCAGAGGAAACATCCGCCCACTATGATGAAGTATCAGCAAAATTTTAACCTGGTGATAAACGAGGTCCTAGGGAACAATTCTCATCTTTTCACGGTTGATGAAAAAGATTTTTTGGGTATAAAACCAATATCCCGTTTCTTGTTTCTGTAATTGCATTTTTTTAATGTATTATGAACTGCTGCTATGTTTCTGTTGACAGAATCACTCACCTCAGCCTCGGAGGATAGCCAGAGGCTATTTATTCGGCTTTACACACGGAAAGGTGCTTCATTTGCCAATTTCATTTGTTTTTATGTTTTGGTTTTTTCATGTTATTTTCCTTGTAATATGATCCCATTATTATGGCAGTGAGAAATAACTGTATGAATTCCATTTCTGTTTAACGAAGATATCAATTGCATAAGCTGTTAAGAATTATCGTCTTGAAAGAGTTTTTTGTACCTAGAGATGCTGGCTGTGTTCATACAGGATAGCCAAGCTAATAAATATTCCATGGAATGTTACCTCTTCTAAGAGGTCCTTTGATGTCTTAGAAGTGTTGCAAGTCTGGAAGAAAAAAAAAAGTTGTTAGCTCCTGGGATCATTTCTATGTGTGCTGCCATCTGATTTTCTTATATATATACATGTAAACAAATATCTAGAACTCAATCAGATGAAGAAACTGTAATATGATTGCTACAAGTAAGTTTTATCTGATAGAACTGTCACAAACAAACATGTAGTGTTGCTGCAATGGGTATTGTTGTATAATTTTGCATTATGGTTTCTTGCAAGCAATT